TGCAGAAGGATAAATGCCCATGGAACTAATGGAGTGACTTTGGAGCTGTCACAGACTCTCAGCCCAACCTACCTCACAGGGTTGTTGTTGTGAAGATACGATTGAGAGGAGGAAGAGAAATATATAAACTGCCTTGAGTTACCTGAAAGGAAAAAGACAGGCTATAACTATAATAATAATAATAAGCCACCTGAAATAACAGAATGAACAGAAGTTTTATGAAACTTTAAATTTCGAATGAGTGACCTTTGGGCATATTTTACAAATTGATAAATATATAGATATCTGGGCTGCCTTTGTTGAGGTTTGTGCATAACTTTTTCCAACAACAGTAGCCTGCTTTGCTACGTACTACTGCATAGAGATATCCGACATATATGTAATTACAGTTATTTATTTCCTTCATGTTTATACTGCCCAGTGGCCAAAGCTCCCTCAGCAGTTAACAGAAGTTAAAAAGATAAAAACACACAGTTTAAAAAAACAAATCTACAATAGCAATTGCCATGATTCAGCATAGAAGCATAGCAGCGGTATAGAATGAAATGAAATATATAAAAACAACGTTAAACTGTTAAAATACTGAGAAAATAAAGAGGTCTTCACCTGGTACTGAAAAGAATATGCAGTAGGTGCTGTGCACACCTGTTTGGGGGGCTCGTTCCACAACAGGTGTGCCCCCTCTTGGTAGCCATCCACCTCACTTCCTTTGGAAGCGGCTCCCAGAGAAGGACCCCAAAGATGGACTCAGGCTCCTAGTATCGGAGGAGGAGATCCTTCAGATAACCGGGTCCTGAGCCGTTTGGGCTTTGCATGTTAGTACAGTGGTACCTCAGCTCACGAATGCCTCAGTTCACGACCAAATCGGATCGCAAACAGAAATTTCATAAAATGTTGCTGCAGGTTGTGAACTCTGCATCGGGTGACGATCATGAGCGCACCTGCCTTCCCTGCATGGGCGCGATCGCGGTCGTGCTGCGGGGGTGGCCGTGTTCGTGCTGGGGGGAGATGGCCGCGATTGCGCCCATGTTCCCTGCCCGAGCGCGCCCCCGCCCGCCTCTTCCCAACACCTGCGCCCGCCTCCCCTCTGTGCGCCCACAATCGTGCCCTTCCCCCCCCCCCCCCGCACGATCGCTGGTGTGGGGGGGAGATGGCCGCGATCTTTGTTGTTCTTTGTCACTTTGCTTCAAATTTTTGTGAGTACAAAAAATAGTTGCAGAACGGATTAACTTTATTTACATTGACCCTTATGGGGAAATTTGACTTGGCTCACGACCAATTTGGGTCACAACCACAGTCCTGGAACTGATTAAGTTCGTGAGACAAGGTACCACTGTACTAGCACTATAAGTTGGGCCCAGGCTTCAACCAGCGGCCGGTGGAGCTGGAAGAGGGCTGGCATAATGTCTCCCCATGAACCAGTCCCATTAACAGCCTCGCTCCCCTGTTCTGGATCAGCTGAAATTTCTGGACTGGTTTTCAAAGGCAGCCTCACTTACATTGCAGTGGCCCTGCTGAGAGATTACCAGAGCACGGATAACTGTCGTAAGGCTTTCTCTGTCCAGGTTGGTATATCGGCTTAAGGTGATAAGAGGTGCTGCTGGCCACCAGGTCCACACATGCCTCAGTTGACAACTCTGGGTCCAGGGGCACCCCCAAACCTTGAACCTTGCCTTTAGGGGGAGTGCGCCCCCATTCAGAACAGGCTGAATATCACCCAGCTGGACAGACGGAGCACCCACTGACAACTTGGGTCTTTTCAAATCCTATCCAAGAAACTGCAATATTTTTGTTTATTTTGTCTCTTCTCTCTCTCTCTTCAAGGTGTGGTTGGTTTGGTTTTGTAATGCATGCTAAAAAAGAAATAAAAAGCTTTAAGCTTTGGCATATCATTATTGTTTATAGCCATAGGCTATCACAAGTATAAGAAATAGAAAGAAATGTAGGTATGAGCAGTAAGCGGGTTGTTGATGTATTCTCTAGCTTTCTATGGAAGTTCTCCTTCCCATCTGAGATTTAGAACAGGCATCAAAATGTCATACCTACTGCATAGTTTTTGCTAGATCTTTATCCCACCATTTATTGAGGTTCTGAGAAGGGTACATGACCTCCATTCTGTACTTATCCTCACAACAACCCTGCAGTGCAGGTGAGGTTGAGAAATGGTGGAACCAGGGTGACGCTTAATCCCTGTATTAGCTACCCTGATTGGCTGTAGGTGTCAGGTATTTGCCACCTGCAATGGGGGCCTTCTGCATGGAAAGCTTGGGGTTTTCTTACTGAATGACAGCCCCTCTTCTAATTGCTAATACATTGTCAATTCCCTGTGTGCTTTGCACTATATTTCAGTAGCTCATGTAGTGCAGTAGAGGGTTGAAAGAATGGAAAGAAAAATTCTTTACTCTCTGTCACAGCTGATAATATTTGCTTTCAGTTGGGCTCAGTTGGACACAGCTTTTCTGAAGCCTTTTTAACTCCACAAAGACTTGAAATACCTATGACCGAGTTAAAATGTTACTTGCATTATTTTTGAGCCTTGGGCAAACTCCCCAAAACAACTGCAGATATTAAACTAAGATCTATACTTGCTTTGGGATGTATTCCTGTTTTTCACTGTACCATATGTGCTCTTGCAGTGTAATAGTTTGTGAAACCTGAGCTGAAAGCAAATCTCATTTCCCACCATTGCATTTTTATAAACATGATGCCAGAAATTGCAGCCTAACATTGGGGCAGAGATTTAACTTCATTCCAAATATCTTTAGATGTATAAAATCCAAGCCTTAAATGTCTACCAAAGGTTATATATAATATGCCTTTTAAATCTCAGTATTTTGAGGCTGATGTGCCAGTTACATAAGCCCTTTCAGAATAAATTAGATGAATATATTCTGAATACATTGCTTGGAGAGAGATTTTAAGATGCAGAGATGTTATCTGTACAATGAAGCAGATTTTCTGCAGTAATCGTTAGAGAAATCCAAGGAATTGATGGATGCTGGTTTCCCAGGGATCAAGACATTTGGTTAATGACAAGGACAGAAATGTAGGCCAACATCTGGATTCACTGAATATTGAATTATTGATCCTGTTTTCAGGTATTTTCCCTTTGTGGAGTCTGTCCTTTTCTAATACCAATGCCAATGCCAATGCCAATGCCAATAATAATAATAATAATAATAATAATAATAATAAATGTCTAGGCAGTGCCATATAAGGTACAAACCCATGAATAACAAGGCATCCTGTAGACCTTCAAGATACACCAGTGCGACAGCGTATGGGGAGTCTTTCCGGTGTGCGTGGATTCCAGCTGCCAACTCACAACTGCCATGACCCTGTACTTGCCCGGCCAACCCAGAAGGCAGACTTTCCCTATCCGCTCTTTTGTACCTCTTGTTTCCTTTTTATCATCTTCTGTCTTTTTCCTTGTTTTCTCACTTATCTGACTGAAAACAAAAAAGTGGATTTTCAGCCATTCCTCAGAGACTCAAGACTCAACAGGAACCAAATTTAATTAAATTTAATTTAATTAGTGGAGGCTGCATTTCTCTCCAGCAGTCCCAAAGGACAATATATCTTGGAGAGAGGAGGAGTTAAGTGTTTGTTCGAATTTTCTCCTCTTAGTCCTCTTCTTCATCATCATCACCTTTGTTTCTATATTATTTTTTGTGATTGTTCCAAATAATGGAAAAAAAAGATGACTAAACATCAGCTGGAGAGGGAGGGGAGCAAACATATGACTGTATAAGTTTCCTGATAAAATGGAATTATGTACATGTGAAGATGATGGCAAACCTCTGTTCGTGCTCACCACTGCTGTGGGGGATTGCACATAATGCAGGGATGGACTTGGTTGGATCCTTGCTGTTTTTAGAGCAGAGTTCTTTCGCAACACCTGCTGCCTGAGAAGCAGGCAGCCATGTCACCGTCATTGGGCCCCAGGTGAAAGTCTTTTTTCCTTTTAAGACCATGTTGTGCTTTTAGTTCTGCTGTATCCCTGCTTTGCTGTTGATAGTTTTATTTATACTAATATACATGGTGGTTTTCATTCTGTTTTGATTTTTCATTTGTGCCAGTTTTTAGGACTTTAAATGCTACAGTTAACTCCCCAGAGAAAGGCACTTACTGATTGGTATACAAACCCATTGGGTCTCTTGGCAACTTCTCTAACACTAAACAAAGGCAATGCTCAAAGAGATGACCGCCATTTTATCATATTTTAAGATGCACCTTTTCGATGAACTATGCATATTAAAAAAAACGGAGTTGTATAGAAGGCAAATTCCCTCAGGAACGCAAATGGATAAATCAGTCTCAGATTTGGATGCAGCTCTCTCTCAATTTCTCATTTTCCCAATCTTAGTTCGGCTTTAATGCTGAGATTTTTTCCCAGTCTAAAGCTTTGTTAATCCCAAATGAAAGATGTTTAAAGAAAAAGATTTATATAAAAATCCATATGCATTTTTGTGTCGATTTCAGTTCATAAATTTATTTTATATGCAATTTTGCCTAATATGCACATTTTCCAAGCAATTTTCTTAATACTATCCACTTATTGTGATTTTATTAGCACAATATTGTGTTAATATGTGTTATTAACATATCATTTGTGTGCACTTTTCCCACAGTATTTTGCACGGTTTGATTGATGAATTCCATTGCAAAATTTAATTAAGAGCAATTATGAAGGATAATTGAGTTTCAGTTGGTTCAAAAGTGAAATATTAAGTAAGGTCACATAAAAACAGAAACTGAAAAAACCCTTCCCCGAAGCCCAGCCTGGAGCAGCTTCTGCCGTCACAATATAAATAGCAAGAATGGTGGGAGAACCCCGCTGTGGCAGGGAGTGCCCTGCCCTGAAGCTGTTGATGGTTCCGGATTCTCCTTGGGCCCTGGATCACGGTCCATATGCCTGTTATTGAACTAATGACCACAAAGTCCTTTGCTCTTGAGCTAACCGCAGTGACCAAGTGCTTCTCTCCCACATTTTTGTGTAGATATTTATCTTTGAGAACAACATCTACTATTGCGCCCATGTGGGGAAGCAGGCCATCCGCGTGGTCTCCACCGGAAAAGACAAAGTTATTTTCAATGGACTCAGCGACTGGCTATATGAAGGTAGGCTAACCGCTTCTGAATATTTCCAAGGGGCCTGCTTGTCTTCTCTCTCCCCCCCCCCCCCACTTTCTCTCAGTCTTTCTCTCTCAGGCATAGGCACATACATTGGTATAGATAGATGGCATTGAAATAATGCTTTATTGGAGGAAATCTGCCACTGCTGCATACAGCATCCAGCTCCTGCCTATAAGCTTCTCAAGGGGATACTCTGCATGCAAAAAGCCAGCAATCCCATCGTGCGCATCTCTACTCAAATCCTGGACCTTCTGAAGCAGTTATTTCTGCTGCTCAGCTTCCCATGCTGCTGGGAAGTTGTCGCCGAGATTTAGTCAACATCCCTTGAAATTTGGACCTCTTGGTTTCAGTCCTCTCCTCTGGAGCAACAGACAAGCTGTTTGCTCCATCATCCACATAGCAGCCTCTCCAAGATTTGAAAGATCAACTTGTGTTTCCCAGGCTGAACAGAGCCCGGTCCATCCATCCTTCCTGCTCCGTAGGCCCTTTGCCACCTGAGCCATTTCCAGCCACCCCGGAGGTCCTCTCAGGAGGAACAGCTGTAGCTTTCTCATCAGCAAGGGAACACCGAGCCATGCATTCTGTGCAGCAAAGCTGTGCAGTCAGTTCACGCCAGTCCCCAAAATGTTCTGCCCAACCCCTTCTATCTGTCAGCACTGTGTACTACTGGGGTGACCCATCCTTCCTTACAGGATTTTCTGTTCCGTAAATTCTGCCAAAGGACAGCTGGCTTCAGTCCTCCCTGTTCTAGCTTTCTTTAAAAACAGAAAGAAAAGAATCTCCAGGTTTCCTGTCTCTACCAGCATACCTCTGTTAAATTTCAACCCACAGCACCCTGCAGCCAACCATGGGAGTTGTAGTCAGACACACTTGAAGGGCACCAGGCTGGGGACACTGGCACTGTACTTACTAGAAGCGGCTCGCCAGGGCTGTTTTGGTGAGAGAATTTCTTAGGACAGTGATGGCGAACATTTTAGAGACTGAGTGCCCAAACTACAACCCAAAACTACCTTATTTATCACAAAGTGTCAACACTACAAAAAATCTGAAAACTGCAGTTTTAGATTAGAAAAAACAATTCACAGCCACTCCAAGCGAATACACAAACACACACACACAAATCCTTGGCAACAGACTGAACGGCCATGTGAAAGCTCAGACGAGCTGCGGCTAATGAGTCATGGCTTGTATTGTCATTGCATGGCACCAGTGCACCATTCCGAGCATGGGCATGGCCCCAGCGTGCGCTGTTACCCGATGCTGAACTGCCGGAGCGATGTGGGGGCCATTTGGGTAGCATGCCAAAAGAGGGGCTCCCGGTGGCCGCGGTGGCAGCCATTCCATGGGTTCAGCACTACTGCCCTAACCCTACCCTGGTTCGCTCAACTAGCCCTAAAGAGCAAAAATGCCATTGAAAAGTAGGCAATTTTGAAAAAACCTAATATAAGAAGCTTTCCCTGCACACCTCATCAATAATGCCCAATAGAAACACATTACAACCATCAAAAATATACCAGGACAACTCGTTTGCCAAACCCTGGTGCGCACCCCTAACCCTATTTAGTGCTAAAGCTCCATAGAAAAGAGGGTGATTTGGAAAAGCCTTCTTTGTTTAGCTATTTCTGCGCAGCTCATACTTTCTCCCCTTTCTAAACCCGTTCCAACCATCTAAATAGTGTCAGGACACCTCGTTTCTCTAACCCTAACCCTACCCTGGTGCACACCCTTAACCCTAATTTAGGGCTGAAGTTCCATAGAAAAGAGGGTGATTTGGAAAAGCCTTCTTTGAGTAGCTTTTCCTGCACAGCTCATCGTTTCTTCCCCATCTAAACACATTCCAGCCATCAAAATCATGACAGGACACCTGGTTTGTCTAACCCTAACCCTACCCCGGTGCACACCCCTAACCCTAATTTGGGGCTGATGTTCAAGAGAAAAGACGGCGATTTTTAAAAAGCCTTTTTGAGTAGCTTTTTCTGCGCAGCTCATCCTTTCTGCCCCATCTAAACACATTCCAACCATCAAAATCATGCCAGGACACCTCGTTTGTCTAACCCTAACCCTACCCTGGTTCACACCCCTAACCCTATTTTAGGGCTAAAGCTCCATAGAAAAGAGGGTGATTTGCAAAAGCCTTCTTTGAGTAGCTTTTTCTGCACAGCTCATCCTTTCTGCCCCATCTAAACACATCCCAACCATCAAAATCATGCCAGGACACCTCGTTTGTCTAACCCTAACCCTACCGGGGTGCACACCCCTAACCCTTATTTGGGGCTGAAGTTCCAATGAAAATAATGTGATTTTAAAAAAGCCTTGAGTATCTTTTTCTGCATAGGTCATCCTTTCTGCCCATTCTAAACAGATTCCATCCATCAAAATTATTCCAGGACACCTCATTTGCCCAACCCTCACCCTACCCTGGGGAACACCCCTAACCTAATATTGCACTACAGTTCAAGTATAAATAATGTTATTTTGAAAAAGCCTTCCCTGAGTAGCTTTTTCAGCACAGCTTTTACTTTTTGCCCATTCTAATCACATTCCAGCCTTCAAAATGTGATTCATTTGTCTTACCCTAACCGTACCCTGGTGCCCACCCCTAACTCTAATATAGGGCTAAAGTTCCAGAGAATGGAGGGCTATATTTAAAAAGCCTTCCTTGAGAAGCTTTTTCTGCACAGCGTATCCTTTCTGCCCATTCTAACCTCATTCCAGCCATCGAAATCATTCCAGGACACCTCATTTGTCTAACCCTAACCCTACCCTGCTGTGCACCCCTAAGTCTAATTTAGGGCTAAAGTTCCAGAGAAAAGAGGGCGATTTTTTAAAAACGTTCTTTGAGTAGCTTTTTCTGCACTGCTCATCATTTCTGCCCCTTCTAAACATATTCCAGCCATCATATTCATGCAAGGACACCTCTTTTGTCTAACCCTAACCATACCCGGGTCCACACGCCTAACCCTAATATAGGGCTAAATTTCAATTGAAAATAATGTGATTTTCAAAAAGCCTTCCTTGAGAAGCTTTTTCTGCACAGCGTATCCTTTCTGCCCATTCCAAACACATTCGATTCATCAACATCATTGCCAGACACCTCGTTTGTCTAACCCTAACCCTTCCCCTGTGTTCAACTCTCACCGTAATACAGAGCTAAAAGACAATTGAAATTAGGGCAAGTTTCCAAAAGTCATATTTCTTAATATTCAGAATGGAAAGAACTTAAGGTTTTAAAAATCTGAATGCGAGAAAAAGTGAAACTGACCAACTGGTCTGTCCATAGGCAAAAATCCACCATCTGCCCAATTCCACTTTCACAGTGTCTGAGTGCATCCCATAATAAGAAACTATGGGGATAAAGGACATGCTTCGAGTGAATAATTGTGTGCCTCCACTGCTTGCTTGGTTGATGTCAAAATACCCTCTCTGCCCGTAACCTGCTCCTGCCAAATTGCTGGCGGGGAGCAGTTATCATGGTGGGAGGCTTAGAGGGCAGAGGCTAAGATAATGGTGCTGCTGATGCCCATTTTTGTTCTGTGGCCGCGATGCCCACAGTGCTCCCTCATTCACTGCCATCGACTTCCAGACTTGTCCTGGCGTGGCAAGAGAACATGGATTTCCCGGTCCAGCCTGCAACTGGAAGTCTGATCTGAGGGGGCCGTTCAGTAAAAGCCACCTGGGGAAAGCTGCCCCCCCCCCCACTTTAATGCTTCTTCCATGCAACTTGGAAAACAAGGCCCTTGGCACACATTTAGCCAAAGCTTTCCCACAAGTCTTTGGACTGCGATTCTTTTCTTCTGTGAAGAAGCATCCGTGACATTCAAGGGGTGCTTGCACAAACCCATATTGCTAAAAGAGGACTGCAGCTTCATCTGAGACCTTGCATTTGGGAAAGGGCTGTTCCGGATCAAATGCTGGGAAAAGTGGCTCTCCATCCCCCAAATGCAATCCCATTTCACCCCCTTCCATGTATCAAATTTCATGCCCAGCTTGTGTATTTAGAGAAATCCAGTCACAAAGCTCTTCCTGGCCTGTGCCCAGCATAGGGTGCCCAGGTGTGCTCTTTTACTGTACGGTCCTCTATTTTGATCCCAGCTTAAAGAGAAAGAACTTTAACAAGCCTTAGGACCGGGCTGAGCAAGGAGGCACACAGAGCACCTCATCACAGTACTTGTGAACGCAGGAAATTTATTTATTTATTTATTTATTAAAACATTTTTATGCCGCCCCATTCGCCGAAGCCTCGGGGCGGCTTACAACATAGATAAAACAAGTTAAAATCCATATAAAATAATCTTAATTAAAACTCACATTATAAAATAAGCCGCCCTGGCCAGATAAAATTCAATTGTATTTAGCATTTAAAATGTTGCTTAAATAAAAAGGTCTTAGCCTGGCGCCGAAAAACAAATAACGACGGCGCCAGGCGGACCTCTCTGGGGAGCGCATTCCATAACTTAGGCGCCACCGCTGAGAAAGCCCTTCTCCGAGTAACCACCCTCCTAATTTCTCTCACGGAGGGCTCCCGGAGAAGGGCCTCTCCCGCCGATCTCAGGGGGCGACTGGGCAAATATGGATGTAAGCGCTCCTTCAGGTAACCAGGACCCAAGCCGTCCTGGGCTTGCCCCAGACTGAGGCCAGGCCAGTGTTTCCTCTCGCCCAGTCACCCTTTGAGCAGACGCTGGATGGAGATTCACATGGGTGGATACATGGATGATTGGGTTGGTGCACAATGGAGAAAGCCGGCACACGGACATGACGGCATCCTAAGAAGCATCCTGGCTTCCTCCTGTTGCAGAATTCTCCCGCTCTACTGCAACTTGCCTCCTCTGTTGCACGCCTCATGTTTGTCCTCTTGGTCTGTCAGGTCCTGTGGATTTGCACTATTGTATTTTTACTTGTTTACATGCTATCACTTTAGCGACTGGCTGTGGGGAGGTGGATGGTGAGCATATGCTGAGCCGTCTCTCCATCTGTGCAGGCACGAG